TTAATTATTTTAATTACTTCAATTATGAGGAAGATTAAAAACACTTAGGGGATTTTCAAGCACAACAATTAGGGATGCTTGTTCCCAAAATTTCTGGATCTGCCTTAGAAAATCTCCCTTCCTCCCTTTCCTACTTCTGTGGTACTTGTTTATATGGGGAATTTAATCATCCCCCCACTATTTTAAGTCTTTGCATCACTCACAGTGGCTAAAATTCCATATTTTTGGGGAGATGTGAGAAAATTTCATTTTCTTGGTGTTTCCAAAATCCAAAGGAGAACAAAAAATATGACAAAGGAAAAAAAAGAAAAAAGAAAAACAATCCCAACCAAACACTTGAAAACAGTCCCCTGAAGGCCTGCAAATTACAAGCTTCAGAATTCTTCTCATCTTTTGTTCACCAACTGTTGCTTCCTTGTCCTAACTATTGTACCTCTCAAAGGGAACTACAAAGCACCCAGCCAGTGGAGATGTACACTGGAGTGTCTCTTTATGCCCCACATTGAAGCCAAGAGGGAGACATTAGTCATCTGGAGATTCTGCCCCAATGCCCAAAGGCATTAAATACCTCCAACAAAACACCGACTGAGATATGTCAGTGTGGCACTCGCTTCGCATCTCTCTCTTGGTGCCTTTCAAGTTGTTTTCTAAACACTTCTTTTGTTGCTGTTGGCATGAGTGCACTTAAAAGCGGCATATCGTTAAGTACTGAAAATGCTCACTGTTTTCTGTCCTTTAAAATCTCTTCCAAGTACTTCCCTGTGAGCAATTAAGCTAACTCTATGGGATACATTTGATAACAGATATTCTTTAGTTTGGGTGACAGTTAACAAGCAAGGCTCTAATGAATAATAAAGTACTTTTTAGTGACATACAGTCCCTATTCACCCTGAGTAGGGACTATTTTTGTGCAAGTTCAACAGAAGATTCTAACAATGCAACCCTCTTGTATAACTTGCACAAAATAGGCATTCATCAAGGAGGATTACTCTCCCCAAAATGGGGCTCTCAGAAGCTACGTGCTGTGGGTGGGGATGCACAATTCCAGACAGGGGTGGAGACCAAGGAAAAGGCATGGGTCTAGCAAGAAAATGCATGCTGTGTCAATTCATAAGCACAAAAGAGATGCATTAGGGAAAAAAAAAAAGGAAAAAAGGAAAAGAAAAAAAAAGAAGAAAAGAAAAAAAGAAAAGAATGAAGAAAACTAGATGCAAAATCTAAGGCTGCCCCAAGATCTTGTATGAAGAGTAACACATGCTGCAAATGACCATGGAAATATTTCAAGGTAACATTTTGCTAAGAATGAGCTCTCCTAAGTCCAACTCCTCCCTATAGAGACAAAGACAGCTCCCAGCTTTCCAATACCGACCCCCATGGGCATCTTCTTGTTCTCAAACATGCTCAGCCAAACACTACACAATCTGCTGCTCTGACAACACAGGCTCTCAGTAATGTGTGAGAACAGTCTGTTCACTGATCTCCTTTTTCTCCTTCTGCTTGGTGGAGGTGCCTCCCTCATGACAAAGCACTAAGTCATGCATGTATGTATACACATATCCATTCTATGTCTTCCCAAAATATGTCAAGGTTCCCATTTCAAGTATCAAACTTCTTAAATGTTAGGACTGTAAATGTATAATTCCCTGATCATTCCAATGCTCTTCAAAAAACTTTTTCTTCTTCTTTCATGACATCGTAACACTTTCCATCCTGATATATTTAGACAAAACTAAGCCACAGGCTTACAAACTGTTTTAGCCTTTCCTTATGTCAGACACCTTTTCAGATTAAATACAGCTCCAACACAAAAAAGCAAACCAAAACAAACAGGTCATTGCACCCAAGTTCAGGATACACTGAAAACTGAGAAAGTAAAATCCAACCCAGCATATCCAGGACTTTGAGTTTTTTCAAGGCAAACACTGCCTGCTGATGGTGGTAATAGCATTTACTTGCTCTGAGAGGATGAAGACTAAATGCCAGAGGAAACATTTTTTTTTCTTTTCTCTGAAAACTACCTGGCAGTTTTCCTCTACCCCAATACATGGATCTTCCACAGACAGGATTATGTGCTTTTACCCGAACTGGCAGCTGTAGTCTAACTATATTTACATGTTTATTCCCAGAAGAGAACTCTTACCTCTGAGAACACTTTCTATTTTTAAAGAAGGTGAGAGAATTTGGGGGGGGGAAAAAAAGGCAAAACTGACCCAAGGGACTAGCAATTTCAATGCCCACTTGAAAGGCTAAAAAGGTGTTTCAGAATATCTGAATGTCAGGCCACTAACAAGCATCTCAAAACTTTCAAAGAAACCAAAAAATGACCCCTCTAAGAGTTTAGACCACGATGTACATTTTCCAACGGATGGTCATGGAATAAAAACATATTTCTAAAACCAAAAAGAAAAGTAAGTTCATTCATTATAGGGTGTACATATTTCATGGAGTTCAGCTAGGCATAAAACCACATCTTTCAAGGGTGCTATCTATGAAAAAATCTTTTTCAGTAGTAATAATCTAAATTATGATGGTATACACTTAACACAGAATGTATTTTTAAAATATTAACTGTATTTGTTTGTCCAGTAGAGTGAAGAATTGGATATTATTGAAACAACATCCTAGAACAATTTGTTCATTTTCTAGCAATCCCTGCTGCCTGACCAGAAAAAGCCTCTGAACAAATTTTGTTTATCATCTTTGTTTCTGGCCGTTCCTTGTTGGTGCAAGTATGGAAAAATTTTAACCGAGCAACTTTTTAAAAAACCTCAGTTCAGTTTAGAAAGAAACCATGCTCCCTAGAACTGAAGAAGGAATGGGGATGGAGCAAGCCTCAAGTGGCAAGCAAGCATAACAAAAGTATTTCTTTTTACCTGCTCAAAAGTGCAACAAAATAACTCATAGCTCTTAGTATAACAATTTATGTACTAAATAAGTGTTTCAGGAAAAATATCAGTAGGTTTCTACTGGTGGGCATTTGCTACAGTCCTTTTCTATTTGTAACAGAATGTTGGTGGATAAAACCTGGTGGAAGAATGGAGTTAGCATGGGGCCATTTTTAAAGATATTGAAAACCTGTGAAGGGTGCTGAAAAGAGCCACAAAAGTGCTGTGAGTGCTGGGGGAAATGTCCTGTGATGCTAAAGAGCTCAATCTATTTATTTAACAAAAAAGAAAATGGAGCAGCGACTTGTCTCAATTGCAGTATATAAATAACTTTATGAAGGCGGTATGCAAGGGGAGTCGAGTTTTTAATATAGTAGAGAAAATGCATAGCTGAAAGCTAAACCAAGACAAACTAATCCTGGCAATCAGGAACAGAAGAAACCCGTTATTGACACAAACTAGCAAGGGAAGTGATGGATCCTCCACCACTGGATGTCTTTGGATGCCTCTCTAAAATACTTGCTTTAGCCTAACAGGATCTATGAACTCACCAGAAAAAAAAGCTGGGGTTTCTTTTAATGGTTAATAGGTGTGTCTTCTGAATTGCAAAGCCTTTCAGAAAGCCTTTCATTCTGTGAGTGAAGAGCTCACTGCTCAATGAACAGCCTAGAGTGGGTTTTTTTACTATTATTAGTCTTTTATTTATCCTTCAAGAAAAATTATCTTCATTTTGAAATATGGAGAAAGCAATATTCTGAAAATCACTGGTCTGCAGTTAAGGAAGACAAATATTTGCCTAAACTTCATACAGCAAATGAATGGAGAAAAGAAAAAGACATTTTTAAAGGAAAATATTTGTACCAAAAGCTCAGTTCTTCTGGAAAAGTTTTGATTTTATAAAACCTTGACAAACAGTAGGGAGATCATATTCTGCATTTTGTTTTCTTATGGTGAATTGTTAATAGAAAATCCATATTCTTATGGGAAAACCTCTTAAATTTAAGCAGCAGCCTGAAAGATCATCTAGCTCTAGCATAAAGAAGGAAAGACAGATGACTTCTCCTAGGCCATACTCTAACAACCACTCTGCTCTTAAACTGCACCTCTGACTCAAGCATCTGGGGATGACAACATGTCATTCCAGGCCCGATTGCCTTTTCAGTCATCCATGGGACAAGCTGTCCCTGCTCCCCTGACCCCAGAGCAACTCCTGCCAGCTGGATCTCAGGTTGATGAGATGGGAGGAAAGGTGTGGGTCCCCTCCCCTGTCATGGCTACTACTTCACCAGCCCCCAGTCCCTCTTGGAGGGGATGACTTGCTGTAAGCACCAGCAAGGCCACTGTTCCACACTCCTGTTCCAGACATAGCCCTGACAATATCCAGACTACTACAGAAACATCCCAAGGAAATTATACCAGTAGAGTTGGGCACCTCTGAGATTGCTTTGCCAGACCAAGGACATGTACCAGGAGTCCTCCCAGTGGTTACTCTGCAACTTCTGGGTCAAAACACTTCCAGGGGAGGAGAGGAGGAACACCAAGAACAGGAGCAGCACCGGCTGTGCGCCAGCAGAAGGGGACGTCAGCAGGCCTGGAAGCTGGTGGGATGTTGCCCTCATGCCGGGGGGATGAGAAAGAGCAAGCTCAGGCAGCACCGGGAGGGCCAAGCTCCACCAGCTGTTAGCAAGGTGAAAGGAAAGGTGCCACACCTCCCTGGGAGAAACTGCCCTCCCATCCCTCTCCTCCGCGGGTCTAGGCTCAGCGGGCAGGCAGGAGAGAGTGCCCAAAGGAGAGAGGATAGGGCTGTTAACATCTGGATAAAGAGCAAAGAAACCTGACACCTCTAACGAAATCTATGTAGAAGTTTAGAGGGAAGGTTGGCAAAGAGAGGATCGAAAAGAACTGTCTCCTCCAGGGGAAAGGAAAGCAGAAGAATAGGGATTACCCGAAGAGTGGAAGGAAGAAGTAAAGAGGTACAGGGATGCAGGACAAGAAGGCTGCAGCAGAAACGTGGGGCAGGGAAAGAAGGGCGTCCCGAGAGAGGGACAGCGCGGGGAAAGTGGGCGGACAAGGAGGACCCGGCTCGGCGGCCGAGGGGAAGGAGCAGGGCCTTACCTGCAGGTAGGGCTGGCCCCTCTCCACGCCCCCCACCACGATGTCGGCCGAGGCCATGCCGCCGCTGGCCGAGAGCCCGAAGCCCACGTAGCCGCGGGTGCGCACCTCCAGGCGGAGGGCGAGGGCGCTGCCGCGGCGGCCCCAGCGCAGGCGGTAGGCGCCCGCGCCGTCCAGCACCGCGCTGTGCGGGTAGCTCCGCGCCGCTGCACCGGCCCCGGCCCCGGCCCCGGCACCGGCCCAGGCACACAGGAGCCCGCCCAGCACCAGCGCCCAGGGGCGCAGCCGCCGCATCCTCTCGCCGCGCACCAGCGGCCGCCTGTGCGTCTCGGCGTGTGTCCGGGCGCGGTGTGCGTGTGCGGGGGCTGTGTGTCTGTGTCTGTGTGTCTGTGCGTGTGTGCGTGTGTGTGTGTGGGGAAGGGGGGCCGGGTGCCCCGGTCACCCCGCCCCCGCTGCGGGCGGCTCCGCGCCGGCCCCGTCGGGGCAGCACGCCCTCGGCAGCGCTTTGTTCGCCCCCGCCCCGGCCCGGCGCTGCCCGTCGGGGCTGGGCCGGACCCCGCCGCGCCGGGAGCACCTGCCGGGCGCTGGCCTCGGGGGCTTCTCGCCGAGATGCTCGGAGTTCGCGTTAGCGACCAACACCCTCCTCCTGACCGAGGGAGCGGAGGGAAGGCGGTGGACGGGAGACCTCCCCGGCCTCCCGGCAACTCTAACTCCGCTGGAAGAATTCACCGGAGGAAGCCCGGAGGCAAACGAGCGCTTCCCCACTCTCGGCCGCCTCCTCACTCAGTGCGAGCGCACGGTGCGGCGGACGGACGGAGCTAAGCAGGAGATCCCCCGTCGGGAGAGTTCTTTTGCATTTTAAGTGGAAAACGGGGACCCCCCCGAGTGGTTTGCACTGAGACGGCTACAAAAGCACATCTCAAACTCGCGTCCCTTGACGGCCCCGCAGCCATCCCCGGCAGCACCGCCGCTCGGCCAGCCCGGCCATGCGGTCCCCGACGCTCCCGTAGCAGAAGCTGCCTCCCCTTGCCCTGCTCACAGCATCACCGCCGCGGCGGGGGCGAGAGCAACGAGCAGAAAGATGCTCTTGGAGGAATGTTCCCCAGCCCTCTGCAAATCTGGAAGGAAACAAAAAAAGCGTGGCACCCAAAACGGGAAAGTTAGGGACCACAAGAAGTCATATTGACCCTTGAAAGCTCTGAGCTGTATGAAATCAGTTTTAAAAGGAAGGTATGCTACTTGAAATGTGTTCCCATTTAAATGAAAGAGCCTGGTACTCAACCAAAAATGCATACTAATTCAGTAAAAACCGATCAAATTAGTACATAAAGGAAATTAGTAATGCTTCCCTTTTTTTGGCTTTTGCATGACAATATTTCACAAGTGTCACTAGGGTTTCTAGAATACAGCCACCCATTGTAATGTGAGGAATGTATCAAACTACAAAACAACTTTTAGAAAAGAAAATGCTTACAAAAGGATAAGTACCAAAAATTACTTTTACCTAAGGCATCATAAGAAATTAGAGGAAAAAAATTTAAAGACTGGTGAAATGAAAGCAATCTTTAGAGGGAATAGATTAGTGTGACTATTCTTGCAATTACAGCAGTAACTTCAAAGGTACAGACTCAAATTACTGACAAAACAGAAAATTATGAGATGCTGAGTGTTTAGATTCTCTTCTACAAAATCGTTAACACCTGCAAGTGGATATGGATTAATTTAAGGAGAAATTGCAGGTGTGTGATAGGCCCTGCCAAGGCCAAAGGTGTGACCTTGGCACCTAACTGGGGGCACTCAGCCTTTGTAAAATTGTGTGCTAAAGGAGGGATCCTTAGGACAATTCCAAAAGTGCACATTTATCTTTTCTGAGGGCAAGGATGATGGAGGAATGAAGAATGTTTCTTAAATGCAGTTTTTTTTCTTAATTTCCTACTAAGACTGTGCATTATGTTCTTAGAAACCCCTAGATAAAGTTTCAATCACACAGAGATGACAAACTCGCTCTTCAAAAGAATGATTGAATCTAGTACAAAATTAGTACAAAATTTGTACATCTAGTACAAAATTGCTGCCTTTAAAGCACAGCAGTGGTATTGAAGTCCAACTAGTGCTTCCCAGAGCGTGCATTGTATAAGCATTTGTACAAAAGAGTGCAAAATGTACTTTGAAGTACTCCAGCACTTCTCATTTTGGTAAGGGTGGTGCTGATGACATTTTAGGAGCCTGTACACAACATGGGATGTTGTAGTACAGGGAGGGTTGATGGACTATCCCACACAGCATGCTGGGCTACACAGCACAACAGATAGAGATAGGGTTTCCCAACTAGCCTGGATGCAGATGCCATGAGGGAAGCAGAGCTGGAGATAGGTGTGCACTGCAGAGACTGTCAGAGGAACAGCTGCACACCCCCCCATACAACCCTGCCCCCTGCATGTCCAACCCCCTGCTCCTCTCACAGCAAACAGGCACAGAAAGAAAACTCCAATGCACACAAACTTGTGGTTGGCTGGGATCTCCTCAGTCATTCTGCCAAAAGCCAAAGCAGCAGGACCATCTAGTGCCTTGGACACACTGCAGTATGTCAGGCAAGACAGGCCAGAGTTTTGCTGTAGTGGGTCTGGTAGAAGTGGTAACACTCACAGGGAACAGCTGTGCTATTTCTGGTGAGCTGCAGTGGCCATGGAGGGTGGGCAGTTCCACCCAGCCCAGCATGGGAGTCCTGTGTTGGCAGAGCCAGTGGCCAGGGCATCCCTATTCCATGGCTCTGGAGCTACCACCAGATTGCTCCTGAGCTTTACTTTGCCTATGCAGAGAAATTTGGCATTTTGGAGACTGAGAGTTGGAACAGAAACGATGCTTGAATTCTTGAAATCTCCTATGGGACTAGATGATTTTGTCTGTGCAGAGCTCAAGGGTCAGCCTGCTACTTCTTTGCAGCTCTGAAGTCTGTACATCCCAAATCCTTGTGACTTTCTACCAAAACCTGGTGGCGATGCTATCCTGTCTTCCAGAGTTACACCACACTCAGCAGCACTGCTCACCCCATCATGATGGCAACATTCAGACCAGTAGAAGTGCAGGAATAGCAGTCCTATTCCTTTCCAATTTCCAGCAAATATTTTTCCATTAAAATAAATCATCCAAACAGTTTTACAGAGCTGCACACTTGATCTACAAATACTGTGACAAAACCAACCTTTTTCAACTTGCTGCTATTTATAATCCCAAGAACAATGCTCATGTAATAAAACTTTCCTAGTAGAAGAGGCACTTTGTGGGTAGGGCTGCAAAATTCCCAAAACTCACATTAGGAGACTTTGGCAACTTCATCAGAAATTTTTTGCATCATTAGGAGACCAAACATATGAAGAAAACACAGTCTATATAATTCTAAATCTAATCTTGGCCTATAAGTAATGCTGCTAGCAGGAGCACATGGATACATCAGGTTACCACCTTCTCTGAACTGAACCTCCTCTTCTGGAGGAAGGCAGTCACCTAACCAAGTCCAGAGAGATTCAGCAAGTGTTTTTCTTTTTTAAAAACTCTTACTACCATTACTAAATATCAGCTTGTCCATTTCTCCCTCAAACCATTGCATGACATGGCTCATATACTGAAATACTGATTAAAAAGTCACAGAATAATAGAATGGTCTGTGTTAAAGATTGGAGAGTTGCAACTCTCCTGCCATGGGCTGGGACACCTTCCACTAGACCAGGTTGCTCAAAGCCCATCCAACCTGGCCTTGAACACATCCAAGGATGCTGCATCCATAGCTTCTCTGGGCAAGCTCTTCTAGTGCCTCACCACCCTCACAGGGAAGGTTTTTTTCCTAGTATTTAATCTAAACCTACTCTTTCAGATTGAAGCCATTCTCCCTTGTCCTGTCATTATGTATCCTTGTAAGAGGTCTCTCCTCTTCTTCCTTGTAGGCTCCCTTGAGGTACTGGAAGGCCAAAATTAGGTTATCCCTAAGTGTCTCTTTTCTAGACTGAACAATCCCAATTCTCTTACCCTTTTTCTCACAGGAGAGGTTTTCCCTCCCTTGAATCAGCTTGGTGGCCTGCTTGGGACTTGCTCAAACAGAGTGATGTCCTTTTTGTGCTGAGGACCCCAGAGCTGGATGCAGCTCTCCAGGTAGGGTCTCACCAGAGCAGATAGAAGGAAGGAATCTAGACTGAACAATCCCAATTCTCTTACCCTTTTTCTCACAGGAGAGGTTTTCCCTCCCTTGAATCAGCTTGGTGGCCTGCTTGGGACTTGCTCAAACAGAGTGATGTCCTTTTTGTGCTGAGGACCCCAGAGCTGGATGCAGCTCTCCAGGTAGGGTCTCACCAGAGCAGATAGAAGGAAGGAATCCCCTCCCTCACCCTGCTGGCCACACTGCTTTTGAGACAGCCCAGGATACAACTGGATTTCTGCGCTCTAAGTGCACATTGCTGGGTCATGTCCAGCCTCTTACCCACCAGCACTCCCAAGTCCTTCTCAGCAGGGCAGCCCTCAGTCTGTTCATCCCCCAAACTCTGTTGATACCTGGTGCTACCTCAAGCCAGATACAGCATCCTGTACCTGGAATTGTTAAACCACATGAGATTCCATGCCTCGGGATGGCATCCTGTTTTTCAAGTGTGCGCTTCTCTACTGTTCCTTAATGAGTCAATTAATTATGAAGATTTGGCCTGATGATGGGTAGTGACCTATCACCTGGTTTATCCCTGCTGGTGTATCCTGGCATTGAGGTGTTCTTGCTAGAGAGCAGTCCAGCAAGAGCTGTGTGTCCCGTCCATTTGCAGGCAGCAGGATTTCTCAAAGGCATAAAAAGGTTAGGTCGCAGCCTATTTCTAATGTATACCTTGTACTATGTGACATGCTTTTTGTTAGTTGTTTGCTGGCTTTTCTCTTACACAATTTAGCCTCTATGCAGGAAATTCATGAATATTGAACATTGATTTTATACTAATAATTAATTCAAAGTCTTATAAATTTTTTTTGTAAAGTAGATAGCCAATAGCTATATCATCTTTCTAATAGAGGGCAACAAGAATTCTGCTCTCACCTGTGAAACGTAAATTAATCACCATTTATTTACCTTTTAAATGTAATGATTTTTATCATTGTATTGATCTCCATGAATCCAGATTTTGACACCAATGCAATGCAAAAGGGTTAGAGAAGCATCTTGCAGATCCAGCTGGAAGGTTTTTACATTGGGGTAATGCTTATTCAGAATAAAACCATCTTCACTGACAATCCAGTTTGTGTTCAATATGGACAGGGAACTTAGA